GAGAGAGAGAGAGAGATCCCAAAAGAGTCTTAAAGTGAGAACAAATCGATTTACAATTATTGTTGTTAATTTTTACAGAGCGAAAGTCACGATTAAACTTTTATAAAATTTCCCGACGGAGAGTTGGAAGATGCTGTCATGCAAAATTATTAACATGACTTTGCCCGGATTTTTTAAAAAATGAGATTCCGCGTTTAATTAAAAGTACTTTTAATTATGTAAAATTATAAATAAAATTGATTTAAATTTCGTAAAATCTAATAGATGCGCCCATTTGAATCTTAAGACAAAAAAAAAACGTAAATATTATTTGAATAAAACAGATATTACGCATGTTATTGTGAATTATATTTACTTTTTTTATTACTTTTACAATTTAATGCGTTTTATTTATTTTTCATTTTATGAACACAGTGTAACGGAAAAAAAGTTTTATCACAATTTTTTACATTTTACATGGTAAATCTAAATTTGTATCTTTAATTTATCGGAAGATTCGATCCGATTGTCGCTGGTGGAATGGAAATGGAAATCATGTAAAAATAAACGGTCATCGGTATAATTTACAGTATTCCCAGCACGTCCATGATTACGAATTTCGAACAAGACGACGAGAATAATGGATTGATGTAAGTCCAGCGTACACACGTCTCGCAAGGAAATGCCTAACGGCGCGCGTTTACTCAGCCACAGGGATAGAGACACGAACGTGGGCAGTCGGCCAGAGAAATATATCTAGCTCTTTGAGATTCTTCCAGTCGCGGGGGCAATGACTCACTCGTTGCGATGCGTCTACATACATATGTGTATATAAAAGCGTACGCATATAAACACGAGAAAATTGCGTAACTATAACTACGGATTTGATTAATCGCATAAAAAAAAAGAAATAAAATGATATCGTTTTCTCATGATTTCAATCCGTATCACTGTTTTTTGTCCAAATTATTATTTTTTTACAATTTTTCCATGGTTTCTCCGAATTTATGAATGTATTTAACATGTAATTACTAAACCGCAAAATAAATGGCAACAAGGCGAC